GGGGGGGAGAAAAAAATAAACAACAAAAAACAAAAATCTAACTAACTTAAAAAACATAAAGGAGCAGCAATACCCATGATCTGAAGTATACAAATAACAAATTCTTAATAATACTATCACACACAAAAAAAGAAAGTACATCAAATGTAGTCATATTCAAGAAATAATTAGCATTTTGCCCCCCATGGGACACCGATCCGGGACGATAAGAAGCCATCCCATTTCCCCACAGGACGCCGATTGGTGACAGTGTAATATAGAAACAAAAACTTTGTAAGAATGATCCCCCTTTAGACATGAGCGCCTGCTATTACTGCTAAGTTATAACTTTCTTTCAGAATGGTTTGTGTCGCCTTTGAACACAAAAAGGGAGATGAATGTGCTAGATCTTATGGTTTTAGTCCCAATTCTAATTCCTTATTTTGTGAAAATGTGATCGTCACTCTCAATTTTATCAATGCGCTGAAAATTTCATACTGATTGGGCTTAGGGTATTTTTGCCAAGACACAGGAAGAGTGCTGATGTACCCCTCCATCTGCATTCTAGTACATGGGTACAAAAGTATTGCGCTTTACGCGCTAGGTCGGTGGAAAGTGTTAAGCATGATTTAGCAAAATAAGCCCCATAATACTGGGTAAGCAGGATTTACCGTCCCGATCAAAGGCTATGCGTTTTTACTTTACTTGTGACATTCGAACAAGACTTGCACCCAGGCCTTTCTGTTAGCTGTCTCAATTAGCACTACAAAACCAAACTTTCAACTCTTTACAAAGGCCTATTTTCTTCTTTATCACAAATGTATTATATTCAGTTCTGAGAGTTGCAATGCAAACAAACAAATTCAGAGCAGAGCGCAATATTTTGATATTTTAAAAAAGGAAAACTGTTCCGTTATCATCATCCTCTTGCAACCAGGCCAAATAGCTTGTTCCGGGCACAGGTGAAGCATAGCCTCTATTTCAAATGAGTGTAGACCAAATGTCACAATGAGGGCCAATGAGGGCCAATGTGGGATGCACTCATGTCTTCAGGATCTGGAACATATAGCTCACTTACGACTGGGCCCTTTCACCAGTCACAAGCGTTGCAGACTGGCGTTTTGGGGGGTATTTCAATAAATCACCACAACTCTCAGAGTTACCCTATTGTAATTATTTTTTGACACAGTAAAGTAACATTCGAGCTTAATATAATACAAAAAACTAAAGTTGTCTAAGTCTAATACTTAAATTTGTATGATTTTTTAAAAATTGGCATAATTTGATTTTCCGAAAAATTTCCAAAGACGTGACAAGTAGAATGAAATTCACTACAACAACAAAAATAAAAGTTCAAAGTGTTCTGGTTTGATTTGTATACATGTGCGAGTGTTTGGTGAAAATATAATAATAATAATAGATAGCATTTGTATAGCGCATATCCCCGCTTAGCAGCAGGCTCTATGCGCTTTACACTATATTATTACCCCAGCAGACCATAGAACACTCCGAAACATTCTCAGCTTCCCGGGAAGCATACAGTGCGAGCAGCCGATTAAGCGCTCAAACACTAACAAACTGACAAGATCTTTCGCTGTCTATAGCCGGGTACCCATTCCCACCTGGGTGAAGTGAGGAAAATTCGTGTAAAGTGCCTTTCCCAAGGACACAACGTCGGGCCCCTGACGGGATTCGAACCCACGACCTTACGGTTGCGAGTCCGAGAGCCTAACCACTAGGCCACCGACGCCACAATAAAAGCTAGTCTGTGCATTGATTCAGACCCATACACTGAATTACATGAGACAGATGTACGGCACGACGTTGTGATTTCGTTGCACGAAAAACAACACCGGTACTAGTGCTAGATCTAGCCCTAGAACTACGACTCGGGCTCGGGCCGTGTTCAGGTACATATCCAGGATCCTAACTATTAGACTCATCATATTCTGAGACACTAGAACTAGTTAAACGTACAGAAGTATAGAAAACGGCAAAATTATGTGATTCTTGTTCATGCGACTTCTTCGACCGTTACTACGACGCAACTGTCGGATTATTATCAGCTGTATAGAAAAAAACAAAGCCCGAGTTCCGGTCTGTTCAACCCCAGTTGGGGTCACTGTCCTTCACCTTCAATAACTTAAAAACTACTGGCCCCAGAGATACGAAACGAAGTCTAAGTAGCTCAGGCTTGGCCAAACAAGGGTACGAGGCGGGTCTCGCGATCCGTGCGTGATTTGTATGTTTGTAGTATAAGGTTTTACGGCGCTCGCAACTGCTAAGGTCATATGAGCGCGCCGTGATTTGTAGAGCGAAAAAAAAAATTCCAAAGTTGGTCACGCAGGGCTTGTGAGACCCGTCGCCAGCGTCGCGGCGGGGGTCACGCAACTGTCGTGTGAGCCGGTGAGCCGTCTGAAGTGAGTTAAAGGCAGACCGAGATCAGTCTAATACAGGACAGCGTGGGGGAACTATACTTTACTTTTACATTGTCCTGTACTCACCAGTATCAGCAGCATACTTCTTGTGCGACGGAGCGTACAGACACAGCAGGGAGATCACATACACATTCCACATGCCATATGTTCCTGAAAAGAAGTTTACAAACAAAAGAGTTTACACATTAGGGTACAAATGGCTCGACAGACTTTCTCCAGTATATCGTCAGCCAGCTGTCAAACTGTACTAAGCCCAAAGTTGTTTAATTTGTTTTTCATTGCAGTTCCATAACCTGTGGTATCGGTTGCAAGTGCTTATGAAATATATTGTCAAAATTAAAACTCTAAATGTTGAAAAAAAAACAAGAAAAAAAAACCAACATAATGTAGGTACAATTGTTTTAAAAGAACAAAAAGTGTTTAACGAAGAAAAAAAATTAGATAAAAATTGCCCATCGGATGGAAAAATACAGATTTCTTTGATTTCTCTATTTTGACTAGCTCCTGATTTCACCACGTTAACACATTTTAGTAAATATCTCAGTCCTGCAGCTGAGATGTTTTTCACACAGCCCGCTTCACCCTCACTCGCAAGCTGAAAACAGACTGCCTCTTGGAAGATCTAGAATGTGCCCATTGGCCATGAAATAGTTCACAACCTTAAATAAAAGCAGCATGGTGAAATGGTGTAATTTTTTCCCCCCACAAGGGATGTCATGAACTTCCTGCTAGCATGTGGTGCCAAAAGAAAATCCGTCCTGACTACACCTTCACATGGGACCACAGAGCATAAATGAATCTGAAACACCAAGAGGAATATAAGCCTCCTGCAACACCTATCATAACTGGGAGGAAGAACAATGTGAAGCCCACAAAAAAGGGTAAGAAACTTTTACAAAAAACAGAGCCCCCAACTGGCAACTGGTAACTGTGTTTGTTTAATTCTAATTAAACACTGGTTTGCAAATGCTTTCAGTTGCGCTTTAATGCTGGTTAATGTTGTGAACATTACAGTCAATACCATTGCAACATTAATTTCCCACAAAGGAAAAATATAAGTGGTCTTGAAAGAAAGAAAAAAAATTACAAACATGATGAACTTTGATAACACTTGTGACTGTCCACATCTCCCCCCCTCCCTCCTCCCTTCCCAAAGTATGAGAACTGAAGCAAGACAGTCGATATGGTTTGCCACTAATATTTCGGCTCAGATGCTCTTAGAAAGACCTTAGAAGTTATCCACACCATCTCCTGTCACTCATATTATGTTCAACTTCTGAAAGTAAGTCATACTTGGCCAACAAGTGCCTCTTTTGCCCTCTCACTCTGACGTGAGAGCAAGATATTCAAACCTTTTCTGTCCATTCACTTACCAGTGAGGAAAGCACTGGTGTACTCCAGGCTGAGGTCCTCGTCCCCCCACTTCCACTGGCCCTCGCTGACCTGACCGATGATGAAGGAGATGACCGTCAGAGCTGCACAGAGCAAGGTGACCAGCATCAGGAACTTGAACCGGTAGATAAGACCCTGCACGCACCAGGAAAATATTTGTTCGTTTAGTTTTAGTAAGAGTTTTACAGCCCTTACAACACAATTAGGTCATATAAAAGCCAAAGATTAGAGGTGTTACAAGAGAGTAACAAACACAAAATATGAAAGAGGAGAGATAAGGACGATAT